TCGGGTGCACACATACACATACACGAGACACATAGAAATGATGGAATCGGGTGCACACATACACATACACCAAGAAACATAGAAATGATGGAATCGGGTGCACACATACACATACACGAGACACAAAAAATGATGTAATTGGGTGCACACATACACATACACGAGACACATAAAATGATGGAATCGGGTGCACACATACACATACACCAAGACACGTAAAATGATGGGATCGACAGTACACATACACGAGACACATAAAATGATGGAATCGGGTGCACACATACACATACACGAGACACATAAAATGATGGAAGGGTGAACACATACACATACACGAGACACATATAAATGATGGAATCGGGTGCACACATACACATACACTAAGACACATAGAAATGATGGAATCGGGTGCACACATATACATACACCGTGCCACAAAAAATGATGGAATTGGGTGCACACATACACATACACGAGACACATAAAATGATGGAATCGGGTGCACACATACACATACACCAAGACACATAGAAATGATGGAATCGGGTGCACAAATACACATACACCGAGACACAAAAAATTATGGAATTGGGTGCACACATACACATACACGAGACACATAAAATGATGGAATCGGGTGCACACATACACATACACGAGACACATAGAAATGATGGAATCGGGTGCACACATACACATACACCAAGACACATAGAAATGATGGAATCGGGTGCACACATACACCGAGACACATAAAATGATGGGATCGGGTGTACACATACACAAGACACATAAAATGTTGTAATTGGGTGCACATATACACATACACCAAACCACATACAATGATGGAATCGGGTGCACACATATACATACACCGAGACACAAAAAAATGATGGAATTGGGTGCACAAATACACATACACCGAGACACAAAAAATGATGGAATTGGGTGCACACATACACATACACGAGACACATAAAATGATGGAATCGGGTGCACACATACACAAACACGAGACACATAGAAATGATGGAATCGGGTGCACACATACACCGAGACACATAAAATGTTGGAATTGGGTGCACATATACACATACACCAAGACACATAGAAATGATGGAATCGGGTGCACACATATACATACACCGAGACACAAAAAATTATGTAATTGGGTGCACACATACACATACACGAGACACATAAAATGATGGAATCGGGTGCACACATACACATACACCAAGACACGTAAAATGATGGGATCGACAGTACACATACACGAGACACATAAAATGATGGAATCGGGTGGACACATACACATACACGAGACACATATAAATGATGGAATCGGGTGCACACATACACATACACTAAGACACATAGAAATGATGGAATCGGGTGCACACATATACATACACCGAGACACAAAAAATGATGGAATTGGGTGCACACATACACATACACGAGACACATAAAATGATGGAATCGGGTGCACACATACACATACACCAAGACACATAGAAATGATGGAATCGGGTGCACAAATACACATACACCGAGACACAAAAAATGATGGAATTGGGTGCACACATACACATACACGAGACACATAAAATGATGGAATCGGGTGCACACATACACATACACGAGACACATAGAAATGATGGAATCGGGTGCACACATACACATACACCAAGACACATAGAAATGATGGAATCGGGTGCACACATACACCGAGACACATAAAATGATGGGATCGGGTGTACACATACACGAGACACATAAAATGATGGAATTGGGTGCACACATACACATTCACCGAGACACATAAAATGATGAAATCGGGTGCACACATACACATACACCAAGACACATAAATGATGACATTATATATTGTAGTACGTTACCAGTCTTTCTAAGAATGATTCTTGCCATTTTTTAATTCCTAAACCGGAAGCTGATTCCACTATTGTTCACATATTAATTGCAATTGTTTGATACTATATTTTTCAACTTGTTTACGATTTTAGTTTCAGGATTCAAACAACTAAATCAATTACAACTTATGTTTCTGCTCATACTTACTCTATTTGCGTTGTTGGTGTGTACTGGTATTTCGTTGACACATCCCTGATATACGGTGAGTCATAAAATGAGTCTTCTAGATGCCCATTAACCACGCCATCAACGACAGACGACATCTGATTCTCCATCCCAAATTCTCCATCTCCCAAGTCAAATCCAAAGTCGTCAGTTTCGTCATTCTGAGTCATATTTGTACTGTATATGATATTATTTTCTTGGGCACTTATTGTTTTCATTATCCCATATATAATTAATAATTATATTAAAAGAAGTTATTCAATTTTGTTGAATATTTTGCTTTGTTATATTCGCGTACTCGCAATAGTCTATCTGATGGCCTATGTACTTTGAATACTAGTAGCTTTTTATCAGCCAATCACCGACCGGTAACCATACCACTTTCACTGTCCTTACCATTTCACGTAGTATATATATGAAATATTATTTCAATGTTAATTGAATCATAGTCCTTATATTATTTCAATGTTAATTGAATCATAGTCCTTATATTATTTCAATGTTAATTGAATCATAGTCCTTATATTATTTCAATGTTAATTGAATCATAGTCCTTATATTATTCCAATGTTAATTGAATCATAGTCCTTATATTATTTCAATGTTAATTGAATCATAGTCCTTATATTATTTCAATATTAATTGAATCATAGTCCTTATATTATTTCAATGTTAATTGAATCATGGTCCTTATATTATTTCAATGTTAATTGAATCATAGTCCTTATATTATTTCAATGTCAATTGAATCATAGCCATTATATTATTTCAATGTCAATTGAATCATAGTCCTTATATTATTTCAATGTCAGTTGAATCATAGTCCTTATATTATTTCAATGTTAATTGAATCATAGTCCTTATATTCAATTTATATTGCGGTCATGTACAGAAATACATGTAAAGTGCCTTCAATATATTTAATAAAGTAATTTAGCAATTTATTTTCTGAAATTAATTTACTTACACAATTAAATGTATGAAATTAATTTAGTACGTTTGTTAAAATTAATTGAAGTTTGTTAAAATTAATTGAAGAAATAAATTTCAAACTGAACTTGAAACTATTCATGACAGAGCTCGCGATGACGACAAATCACTTCCGGGTTGACTATGTCGACCGCAGGAATGGGTGGACTTGTATGTCTTAAAGGGTTAATGTTTTCAAACACTTACAATTTAGAAAATCATAACGCTATATTTGACTAGCATAATATTAATGAATTACGACAACAAATGAGTATATATTACTATGGAGTGTAGTAAGACTAGCTACCCGTTGGATTCGAAGGAACCGCCTCCTTTTGTCTAACACCGACTAGTGTACCATACACTATAACATAATGGTGTTTATCCATGTCATGTTGACAAAAAGCAAAAATGAGTTCCGAAAAAAGTATCAGTCGAATATTACAAGAAAAACAACTGCACTCAATCTAACAGGCAATTACCTCCCGGATAAGGCATATACCTGAACACAAATACAATATATGCAATTTATATACCAACAGGAACAATCCTCAATGTGACCCCAACGATAAATCACAAAGCACCTGTCATTCCTTCTAAACTCTGTACGTAGTTAGAGAACAATGTATAACTATTTATACTTACATATACTAGTAGTAACCAAATTCTATGGCTTCAAAATAGCCATGGCGGAAATGACCTTTGAGTTGAGAGCGCCAGTGCTAGTGTACGATATAATAACTTATTTAGTGATATCTCTGAGTCATATCGCTACGCAATCATTAAACCAATTTGATCAAACAGTTGATCAAACAAACGAAAAAGATGCTCTCCATGTCTTTATGTTACACTCTTCACTACAGGTACACGGAGATGGTTTTGAGTACAAGTGTATAATAGTTGTGTTCATTCAATGAGGTACATAGAGATCACACAGTGGAGTATGAGAGAGCTGCTATAACAGATGCTAATCCCTTGCTGGTCTGTCTAGGGTGTGACTGACTTAACTGCCTCCTATCTACTAATTACCTCCACATCCTGTTTAGATAATACACTTAAGGTAGCGAGACTATTATTTGTATTGAAAATTACGATTTTCACATTTATTTATTAATTGATGAAATGCACTATAAACTTTTATGTGATAAAGTCAACATAACATAGAATGTAAGTTGGTTAAAATGTAGATTTTCTGAAGGAAAGCAAGCAGCCTCAGTAGTGTTTTCAAAAAT